TCTCCAGTAGCCCTCCCTCCTGATGGGACTGTCTGCTGGTGTGAAGTTTGAATATCTGTGGGTCTCTTGTTACTAAATGTAGATTGCCCTGCCCTGTGTCATTATGCAGGGAGGGGGGGTTTGTCCCCTAAGTGTATTTTTTTTAATAAACTAGTCTACCTCCTGGTTTACTTCAAGACTGGTGTCGTCTAGTCTTGTGTGGGCGGCTGTGGTGTCTGTTGTCAGTGTTTGGACAGGGAAGCGGTAGTCTAATGGAAGTATTCAAGCGCAGTCTGGTGTTGGTTCCGTTACACATGCTAACTGTAATGTTTTACAGAGTCTTAGATATAAAGTTCCTCAATGCAATTTGGGCAGTAATAGGGTGCCATGTTGCTAGATATAATGGGTGGCAATGTAAAGTAGTCATTCAATGACCTTCTGCACAGTGTGTGAGGGAAACCAACCAGGGGGAAACAACCAGCACAATGAGAGTGTATGATAAGTCCCATGCATATGTCTGACTACTGGCAAAGGAAGAAATAATAGGTCCCTTCTTGTTTTGCTTCTTATCTTACCTGATTTTGTGACCCTACTCCACAGGTGGCCTGCAGGTCCTAATCTTGCCCTTGTAGAATCCCCTCAAACTTGCACTCATGTTTTAAGACCATTCTTGTATTACCTTCTTAGGCATTTAATACTGCTGAGACATTATAGCATATAAAAATAAAAAAATAGTTTTCATTGCAGGGACCTGCTGTGTCTGCTGCTACTGTTTCAATCACATTGCAATGCTGTTGCGTGCATCAAAAAAACAAAAAAGAAAAACAGCAAAAAATCGTAACACTTCACAGGAATGGACCAAAATACAACCTAACTAGTCCTTAAGTCTGAAAAGCATCTGCTCGAAACATAAACTTATGTAAAGGTTCGCAAACCCGTAACTGTATTTTAATAAACGAGGAAAAACTTATACTTCAACACAAACATTTCCTCGATTCAAATCTAAAATAAACTACAGAGCAAATTATAAAACAAATTTGTCAAAGTTTTAATTACGCAACTAGAAAGTATAATGGAACAGCACCTTAAACCTTAAAATTTTTTGTTCATACATTCCACTTTATATGGAAATGCAGATAAGCGTTGGATCAGTTTTCATTTAAAACTTGCATTGAAGATTAAATGTGTTCTAAGCTTCTTGTGGTGGCTGTTCCCTATGATGAAAGTACTCATAATCTTGTAATTAATGACCTGACAAGATGCAAACATTATTCAGTAAAGTGGTACTTCTTGCAACTGGAATGGGTTTGTAAATGATTCTTGGAGTATTATATCAATGAGTGTTATTTATGCCATCAAGGCTTAATCTGGGACAAACTGGAATTGTTTTTATGCATATTTCATTACGATTCTAGGGTTTCATAATTTTTATAGATTTTGTGCAACCTTTATATATTTTACTAAAACACCTATTAATGCTTGTCAACATAAATCGTAATGTGTTTGTAATTAAATATGTCTCGTTTTTTAGATATAGATATATTTTCTTTATTTTATATTTGTGAGGCTTGTTGTGATAATCTTCTGTAATAAAACTCTACATATTAGAAAGCTTAATACACAGATATATTTATGCTTTTTGTAATGCAGCTGCATACACAGTGGATGAACCAAATACCCCTGGAAGTTATCTGATATGAAAACACAACACAAAACAACATGTCCTTATGGTAGCACTATATACCTGTCATTGAACAGTTAATTCATTTTCTTCCTTTTACTGCCTTATCATCTTTCTACTATCCCATTTTGTCTCCACCTCACATAAATGAAAATCTCTGACATTGTACAAAGTGTGACAAATTAATTCATGGAATGAACTGTAAAAAAAAACCAAACTGCGTACCTATACAATAGTAGCTGTTGTCACCTTCAAAGTAGTCCCCTTGTGAAGAGACATACTTTTCTAAACATGTATAAATTAACCCACACCTAAATATTATTATATATTCAAATAATTAATGCCGCTGTTCATAAGGTAAAAAACCACCAAACATATGTAACAACCTCTTATTACCAATAATAGAACTGCAGACATTATAGTACCCGTATGTGAATTTGATGCAATATCTTATTCGGCCCACAAGATGCCACTAGCAACAGTTCCAGATCCAGCTCTAAATGATTGGCTTGGCACAGGAAGTCTAGGGGGAGGACAGGAATAAAGGAGACAAGGGGAGAGATGATTTGGTGAGGGGAGATGAAGGTCATGGTGGGGCTGGCGAAAAAGAGGAACCCGTTGTCATTGTTGGACACCAGAGACAGCGCTGCAGGACCTTAGAGCCGGACCTTAGAGGACTGAGAAGAGGCTGAACAGTTGAACTGAGTGAAAGATCATATAGGACGTGAGTACTGCTGTCTGCAACTCCCTACCAAGAGGTTGGTGTTAACTTTGCTGAGGCGGTCGCCATTTTAGAGCCACATACACTGACACAGAGAAGAGATACCAAGTGGAATTTCCCGCCAAGTCACTGTACTGATTTTAAACAACCAGCACCAGAGACTAGTAAAGTATGTGTCGTCTCCTCCTCGGGTTGGTCTGCAAAGTCTGAATACATATATATCGGGCATGACAGTAAAATTACAGAGTAATCCCTAAATGAGAGATATGTGCTAAAGGTGAGAACAAGCCATTTTACCCCCAGGATTGCTACTATATTTTTTCAAAAACATTTTTGTAGGATTTTTGCTGATGAAATCAGCCACATCCTGTTTAACAGTTCACCCTATGTTAAAAAGAGCTCCAATGGGCCCCATCTTGAGACTTGCGCATTTTTGGACCTTTTGTTCTGGTCAGATATCAGGAGACGCTAGGGGCAGTGTTTGGCACTGTCAGGGCTCCCAGGTATGACCAGAGGTGAGATGGACAGATGCAGGGAAACGCAGTACTTCAGATATGTGATAAACAATACAATTTATATTAACACTAACCATACAAACATAAACGCAGTGCAATACTAAACATAATACAGTGCAAACAAACCAAACCAAAACCACCCAACAGATAACAGTACATACAAGCAAGCGTCGTCAGGCAGGCCGGGTCATATCAATTGGGCAGGTAGGTACAGGGGAGCAAGCGGAGAGATGGTCGGGGTCACAGGCCAGGTTCAGCAGGTAGCAAGCAGTCGTAGTACAGAGGGTCAGGCAGAGGGATGGTCAGGGTCACAAAGCCAGAGATCAAAAACAGGTAACAAGCAGCGTAGTTACAGAGGGTCAGGCAGAGGGACAGAAACAGGATGCAGGACAGATACAGGGCCCAGGACAAACACAGCACCAAGGCAGAGTCTGTGGGTCTTGGCCATAGCCCCTTAAATAATACCCCAGCATCATCAGTTCCAGGTGTTAGCTGGCTGAAAGGTTGAGTCTCTGATTGCTGGGAGCACCCGCTGGCCAGCCCTGGTTCTGCAGATCAAAAAGGCAGGTGAGTCCCACCATTGCTGGCCAGTCCCCATTCCTAACAGTACCCCCCCCCCCCCCCAAGGAGCGGCCTCAGGACGCTCCAAAACAGTCCTAGCTGGCAAAATGTTTCCACCGCCCGGGTCTGAGGTAACCTGGCGGGAATATCAAAGACTGGCACACCGGGCAGGACTACTCCGGGCAGCGGCACACCGGGCTGGACTCCGGGCAGAGGGCACACCGCGGTCTGGACTCCGGGCAGAGGCACACCGGGCCCTGGACTCCGGGCAGAGGGCACATCGAGCAAGGACACACCGGGCAGAGGCACACCGGGCATAGGCACACCGGGCAGAGGCACATCGGGCAGGACTCCGGGCAGGAGGCACATCCGGGCAGGACTCCGGGCAGAGGCACATCGGGCAGGACTCCGGGCAGAGGCACATCGGTTTACCAGGCGAAGCAGCAGGCAGAGTAACGGGGCACCAGGCGGAAGCAGCAGGAGCAGAGCAGCAGGCAACCGGGCCCCCGGGCGGAGCAGCAGGCACCGGGCCCCCGGGCGGAGCAGCAGGCACCGGGCCCCCGGGCGGGGCGACGGACGGGCCCCCGGGCGGGGCAGCAGGCACCGGCCCCCCAGGGCGGCAGCAGCAGGCACCGGGCCCCCGGGCGGGGGCGACAGGCATCGGGCCCCCGGGCGGGGCCGACAGGCATCGGGCCCCCCGGGCGGGTGCGACAGGCATCGGGCCCCCGGGCGGGGGCAGCAGGCATCGGGCCCCCGGGCGGGGCAAGGCAGGCACCGGGCCCCCGGGCGGGGCGGACAGGCGTCGGGCCCCCGGGCGGAGCAGCAGCGGTCGGGCCCCCAGGCGGGGCGACAGGCGTCGGGCCCCCAGGCGGGGCGGGGGCGACAGGCATCGGGCCCCCAGGCGGGGCGACAGGCATCGGGCCCCCAGGTCGGGGCGACAGGCATCGTGCCCCAGGCGGGGGCGACAGGCATCGTGCCCCCAGGCGGAGCGGGCGGGCGCCCGGACCCCCAGGCGGAGCGACAGGTCTCGGGCCCTCAGGCGGAGCGGCGGGCGCCGGACCCCCAGATGGAGCGACAGTGGTCTCGGGCCCTCAGGCGGAGCGGCGGGTGCCGGACCCCCAGGTCGGGCGGAGCGACAGGTCTCGGGCCCGTCAGGCGGAGCGCGGCGGGCGCCGGACCCCCAGGAGGAGTGCGGACAGGTCTCGTGGCCCTCAGGCGGAGCGGCGGGTCGCCGGACCCCCCCAGATGGAGCGACCAGGTCTCGGGCCCTCAGGCGGAGCGGCGGGCGCCGGGACCCCCAGGTGGAGCGACAGGTCACTCGGGCCTCGCAGGCGGGTAGCGGCGGGCGCCGCACCCCCAGGTGGAGCGACAGGTCCTCCAGGGCCCTCAGGCGAATGCGGCGGGCGCCGGACCCCAGGAGAGGAGACGATCAGGTCTCGGGCCCATCAAGCGGAGCGGCGGGCGCCGGACCCCCTCTAGGCGGAGCGACAGGTCCTTCGGACCCTCAGAGGGGCGAGTGGCGGGCGCCAGGCCCCCCAGGCGGGGCGGCGGGCACCGAGGTCACCAGGCCCAACCTTGGTGGCTCCGAGTCAACTGGGATGGACCGCTGGCACTCGGGTAAGACATTGGATCGTCTGGTCTGGACAGCGGGCATCGGAGTCACCAGGCATCAGGTCATTTGGCTCGAGAAGGGCAGCGGGCAACGCGCGTCATCTGGCAAGGCAGAGGGCTCCGAGTACAACTGGTATGACCGCGGGCACTGGGTCCAGACATTGGATCGTCCTGGCTGGACAGCGGGCACCTGGGTCACCAGGCATCAGGTCACTTTTGGCTATGACAGCGGGCACCGCGTCATCTGGCAAGGCAGTGGGCTCCGAAGTCAACAGGCATACGACAGTGAGCACCGGGTCATCAGGTACCAGGGATTGTCTGGCTCGACAGCGGGCATATCGGGTCACCAGGTATATGACAGCGGGCACTGGGTCACCAGGCATCAGGTCATTTGGCTCGACACAGCGGGCACCGGATCAGGTACACCGGATCATTCTGGATCAACAGAGCCGGCATCTGAGTCAACTGGCCTAATAGGATCGTCAGGCTGGATCAGTTCATCATGCTGGGGTAGAGGCATCAGGCCGAGTAGAAGGCATCAGGCTGAAGAGAGGCATCAGGCCGAGTAGAGGCATCAGGCCTGAAGAGAGGACATCAGGCTGCCATACAGGCATCAGGCTGAAGAGAAGGCATCAGGCTGCATAGTCAGGCATCAGGCTGAAGAGAGGCATCAGGCTGCGTACCGAGAGGCATCAGGCTGAAGAGAGGCATCAGGGCTGAGTAGAGGGCATCAGGCTGTAAGAGAGGCATCAGGCTGCATACAGGCATCAGGCTGAAGAGAGCATCAGGCTGTGTAACCGGCATCAGGCTATGAAGAGAGGCATCAGGCTGAGTAGAGGCAGCATTCTGGCTGAGTAGAGGCTTCAGGCTGAGTAGAGGCTCAGGCCGAGTAGAGGCATCAGGCCGAGTAGAGGCATCAGGCTTGAAGAGAGGAGGCCATCAGGCTGCGTACCGGCATCAGGCTGAAAGAGAGGCATCAGGCTGAGTAGAGGCATCAGGCTGAGTAGAGGCTTCAGGCTGGTAGAGGCATCAGGCTGAGTAGAGGCTTCAGGCTGAGTAGAGGCATTCAGGCTGAACCACGGAAGGCAGGGCTCAACCGGTTTTTGGATACTGGCAGGATGGTGAATTGGGTTGGAAGAGAATTTTCGCGCTTTTTTTCTGGGTTTTTAACGATACTGGAGTCACTGCAAGTAAACGCAGGGGCTGCAAAAGAATGGAGCAGCTGGAGACAGAGGAAGGAGAACTGGAGGATGGAACAGGATTTGAGAGGAGACGGTGGCTACAGAGGGCTACTTTTACAGGGATTTAAAGGCAGGATAGGTGCAGCGAGTGGGTCAACAGGGGTACTGACAAATGCGGTAGATAGCAGGGCAGAGGAGCTGGTTGGGGAATGCATGAATATGAGTTTTGAGGAAATAGATTAGAAAGCAGGACTGGGTCTTTGTAAAGCTGACTGAAGGCCTGGGTTTTGCAAACAAGTCTGTCCATGTCTGCAGTAGGGGTTGAACAAAGCTTTAGCTTACACAAAGCCTGTCTGGTCAAGTGACTGTAACTGCGTTTATACAATCTCTTAGTGTCTGTGGTGACACATGTGGAATAACGCTCCAGAAAGTAACCCACATCATCCTCTTAATAACCACACCAGGGACTCTACCTGGTCTGCACTAATATGGTGGCAAAAATTCATCCCTGCCCCAACATTCGGGGGAACCAGATGAAAACCAAACTCAGCACAAACCTCAATCAAAGGCTGCACCTCAGAGAACTCTGTGCCCTGATCTACTAAGAACATGAGCGAGCCGTATACATTCTAGCAGTTCATCCCGGGTATACTCCTTCAAGTTTGATAAGCATACTCCCTGTCATCAAACACTAGCAGATATAAATATTCAATTCCTCATCAAGATCCATCCTTCCCATCAAACAAGCCAAGATGGCTTCCCTGTGCAGCCACTTCTGGTCAGGATTGGCCTTAGTGTAATGTCAGGGCTCCCAGGTATGACCAGAGGTGTGTGACTGATGCAGGGAAACGCATGACTTCAGATATGTGATAAACAATACAATTTATTAACACTAACCATACAAACATAAACGCAGTGCAAATACTAAACATAATACAGTGCAAAACAAACCAAACCAAACCACCCACAGATAACAGTACATACAAGCAAGCGTCGTCAGGCAGGCCGGATTGTCAATATCAATTGGGCAGGTAGGTACAGGGGGAGCAAGCGGAGATAATGGGTCGGGTGGTCAAGCCATGCCAGGTTCAGCAGGTAGCAAGCAGCGTAAGAGTACAGAGGGTCAGGCAGAGGAGATGGTCAGGGTCACAAGCCAGAGATCAAAACAGGTAACAAGCAGCGCGGTAGTAACAGAGGGGTCATGGCAGAGGAGACAGAAACAGGATGCAGGACAGATACAGGGCCCAGGACAAACACAACACCAAGGCAGAGTCTGTGGGTCTGGCCATCCCTTAAATACCCAGCAGTCATCAGTTATGTTCCAGGTGTTAGCTGCTGAAAGGTTGAGTCTCTGATTGCTGGGAGCACCCGCTGGCCAGCCCTGGTACTGCAGATCAAAAGGCAGGTGAGTCCCCACCAATGCTGGCCAGTCCCATTTCCTAACAGGCACTCATATATAGGTTAAGTGCTGGTAAAACTATTTTATGCAGTAAACATTTATACTTGTTAATATATGTGTTTGGTATAGGACAACTTGGGGTTTATTTACTAAAGCAGGAGAGTCCAAAATCAGACTCCCTTCTGCATAAGAAACCAATCAGCTTCTAACCCTCAGCTTGTTCAATTAAGCTATTGGCAATGAAACCTGGAAGCTTGATTGGTTTCTATGCAGAAGGGAGTCTGATTTTGACACTCTCCAGAGTTTAGTAAATAATACCCCCTTATGTCCATAAGTTAATATACATGATTATCCAATATGATTACTAAGATTCACTAGATAAAATATAATCTTAAAGCCAGTGTGTGTTTTCATTGGATTCTGCTGTGTCGTCAGTCCAGGTAAGAGCTGTGAAACCCACATCATATACCAATATAATTGCTAACACCCTCCGGGTGTGCTACACATAAAAATAATATTACAGCGCAAAAATAAACCAGCAATAATAATAATAGCATCATTGATAAAAATAAAATAATAAAGTCGACTGTCCCAAATTAAAAAATGGTGAAAAAAAAGTGCTATAATCAAAAACAAGAAAGTGCCAAAGAAATAGTTCAATGTGTTCCTTAAATCACATATCCTCATCACACCATCCGCGATCTACCTTACGGTATAATCCACACTCAGAGGAAGGTGTGATCACGGTATGGTGTGAGGATATGATTTAAGGAACACATTGAACTTTTCTTTGGCACTGTTTTTTGATTGGAGCACTTTTTTCACCATTTTAATTTCGGACAGTGGACTTTATTATTTATTTTTATCACTGGATGGTATTATTATTGTTGGTTTATTTTTGCACTGTAGTGATTATTTTTACAATTTTCTAAACAACTGTGCCACTACCAGAAAAACTATTCCTTGAATTAGTTTTTCTTGGAAATGCTACACAGTAATCTTTGTTGCTGCACGTCTCGATGTCCAGAAATGTCATCAAAAGGCATTTTTTTAATTTTGGTAAACAGCTAAAGTCAAGGGATAATGCGGTGGTTGGTCAAATTTCGGAATGGATTTTCTAGGCCAGGAACTTGCAAACACTTAACGCATCATGTGCAGTCATGGAGCATTGTCATAGTGGAGAAAACCACTTGGTCAGGCCAGAGTACTGGTCTTTTTCCTCAGAACAAATTACTGTAACGTTTTCAGAATTGGTTGTCCAAGTAATAGTGTTGGTTGAACTTTGTACCATGTTCTGTGAACCCATAGTGAACTATCCTCGTTGTGATAAAAAAAAACATACCAGGCAAGGTTTTTGAACTGAGAACGAGACATGCGTTGCTTTCTTTGAGCTTTTTCCACTGCAATGCTCTGACCGGGGGCGGACTGACAACTCATGGGGCCAGCGGGCAATAGGGGATCATTCGGCCCCTGTGTCCTTCTGCTCAAATAAAAAAAAACCTATGAAAAAGGTACCAGGGGCATCTCATGGGGCCCCCTGCTGACCCCGGGCCCTCGGGCAGTGCCCGAGTTTCCAAATAGTCAGTCCACCCCTGGCTCTTGGGACGTTTTGTTTTTGGATCATAAACCATGAAAACACCTTGTTCAGTCAAAAAAAATCACTTGTATAACACCTCTGCAATTTTCAAAAACTTTAATGAGACCTTGAAGACAATGTTTTTTTGAACTTTTTGTTCAAGATCTGAGGCACTATCTTTGTGAAAAAATCTTTCTCATTCCCAAATCCTCCCATTAGAATGTGCTGCACGGTTTTTCCTTGATTCATGCTCAATTTCTGCTGCCATCAGTTGCACACTCAGTCTTCAATTTGAACGTACGATGGTTTCGCACTCTGTCCAAGTTTGCATCCATCTTTGTGTTTTTGGCTGCCCACCTTCCTCCGTCACACCTCGAGGACATTTTTCTGCCTTCCTATACCATTCAAAACACTTGATTTCTTCATGGGACTGTTCACTCAACAAGCCTGTTGTAACAGAACTAAAGTTTCTCCATTGCACTTTTGTAAATTTTCACACAAAGCTTGATGTTAATTAGCAACCGCAGCTCCAGAATCATGTCACCTCATTTTGTCCGCCAACAGTGCAATGCACACACATGTTATACTTTCTTCTACTCACTTCAGTAAAGACCTGAGTTAAACTGGTCTGTGACCGAGTGCAAGTTAAAACATTTTTCAGGTAACACATTTAAGTGCCAATGGCTGGGTGAATCACCGCCATGTGTGCTATGCTGCGGACATTCAGGGAATTAAATTGTCACACCCCTCGGCCCACACTCCATCTTACTTTTTCCACACTCCCCTCCACCCTTCAGAGTCCAAGTGTAGCACCTGGTAAAAGGTAATGTGAGATGGTTGGCTCAATTCAGTGTGCAGAACCTATGGAATGCAGCCTGTACTGGGTAGACAATTCAGTGGGTAGCCCACATTGCTGGAATTTTTATTTCTTTTTTTTATGTGTCCCTATTGTTTACAAAGTGTCACTAAGCAATGCTAGACTGTCGGGGATGGTGGGTAGGGAGAAGAGAGGACAAGGACTAGGAATGATGTCACCCACCCTCCTGTCTAAGTTCAATTCACTCTGACAGCAGGTCAGTCATAGCATGCAGCCATACAACACACACACTCTGTCCTCCTCCTCTATTAGAATTTGTCATGTTGCTTACAGCTTCTAAAGAAGACTGTGGTTGCTTCCTTTCACAAAAACAGTGACCGAACATCTTTGACTAGTCCAATGCAATGAGTCACATTTAAGACCCACTGTTAGCACAATTTGGCCAGACCCACCACAATGTGTGCACTTATGAGCATTGCTCTACAATGCTAGTGAAAATAGTTTTGATGTCTATGTGTGTATAAAAAAATGAGTTGGGCCCCTGAGTACCAGACATGCTTAGTACACGACTGGCCCAATCACATATCTGGCTTATACGAAACATT